GGCAGAGACGGAGCAGGCCGACCACCAGCTGGCCCAGCCCAAGGGAGGTAAGGCACCCGCCGGAAAAGGGGGGGAAAAATGGCGGACAAAAAAAAATGGCGGACAAAAAAATGGCAGACAGCCTTGCTTGGCGACCCCCGTGAAATAGTCGATCGACCCCAAATGGGGTCCCGACCCACAGGTTGAGAACCACTGTTCTAGCATACCACAACTGAGTTACTGGCAGGCTTATTTTCTAGAAGCTACTTTAAAAAAAAAAAAAAATTTTTTAAAAGGCATGCAATTCCCAGTATGACAACAGAGGCACTGCTATCAAAAATAGTATTCCACATTTCTTTCTTGAAATATATAACTATTTATCAAAACCTCCAAAATACAAGTGCTGTGATTAGGAATCGCTGCCACTGAACACTTCATGCCAACACAAATTATTGCAGTACATAATTTTGGTTTTTCAAGAGTTCTCGACACACCTGCAACATGGGGAGTATCATTTATTCTACACTGGAGGGAAAAACCATTTACTGGCTTACCAGTTAATAAAAATGTGCATTCCAACTTGTCAGCATGGGAGAGAACAAGTAAAGGAAACAAACACATTTTTGGGATGATACAGTAAAGTTAAATCTCCTGAAAGTTAGTGTACATTTCAGGCCATTTTTTTTTTAGGTACAGAAATAAGACTAAAAGAAGGTCACAAACGTACTCTTTCGAGAGGATGAGGCAGAAAATGAGTGAAAATCTACTTCCAAAATGTCGCTCGATTATAGATTTGTATCTATCCATAATTATTGATTTACAGAGCTAATTCACACAGATTGTATTGCATTCTAATATAAGTATCAATATTAAGTGACAGAAACAAGCAACTAAAAAGTTGCAGTATAAGAAAACCCTGGCATTTGCGGGAGGGAAAATGCTGCCAGGCACAATTTCAGCTTTAGACACTTTAACACACAATATTTCATAACACAGGTTGCACCAGTGGGGGATCCACACTGAATATAAAGCAGGACATGTTCTTTACTTGGTGCACAGAGTCCTAGCATATTGCTCTAATAAGATCTAAAGTTCCTGCATGAAGCAATCGGAGCTTAAAATCTAAATTTCACATGTTTATTCAGCTATCTTTGTAAAGGTTTGGATGAGAACTTACTGTAGTGTTCCAGTTGATCTGTGGTATTCTTGAGTGGAGATTTAGGCTGAACATAAGCAATAGAACTCCAGTAACTACCGATGCGCTACAGCTGACAAATTCAAAAAAATAAAGTCCTTCACAAGGAGAACACTCCATGATGGTCTCTATGCAGATGAAGGAAATCAAAGCCAAAACCTAAGATGTGAAAAACAGGAAAACAGTATTGTAATTTCTGAATATATAGTCACAAATAATCCCGAAGCATTCATTGGGAAGTGGATACTTAAATGTGCAATACCCAGTAAGATTCTTGATATAAAGCAGGGATCCCCAAAGCTGACAACTTTTAAGAGTTGCAGACTTCAACTCCCCACCCCATGGCTGGCTGGGGAATTCTGGGAGTTGAAACGCACAAGTCTTAAAATTGCCAATTTTGGAAACCACTGGTATAAAGAATTCAACACAAGTTATACCAAAGCTAGTTTGCTTCTAGAGTACGGCAATCTGAGACACACTCATCCATAATTTACTGGACAAACAATTTTATGTATTGGAGATCTATTAAAGGCCACTACTCAGGAGATATGAAATGCTTCCAAATATAAATCAATGCAAAGAGCCTGCACTAATAATTATAATAGTGAAATGTGTTTTCTTACGGGAGATCCCAAACACCTTGATCGTTGATGAAATTTAAGGAGGATGTAGATATCACAATGTCCTTTTTGTAACTGTGTGTACCCATTGCTTTTTTTTATTATTATTATTTTCATAGAAAACTTATGGAGGAAGTCTGGAACTCCTCAGTACTGTCTTTGATCTAAAAGATGGATGGGATAGCCTTCGATATTCATACTACAAGTATAATAGAAAATCATTCCAAGTCATTCCTAAACCCTTTGCCATCATGCCTCCCTTTAGTATAATATAGTAGGTCCCCTTTAAAAAAACACCAAAATGAATACAAACGACCAATAAAACAATAAAATGGAACTTTGAAAAGGTGGGTTTACTGCAACAACATATGACTAAAAGTTTCTTTGCACCCCTCCTGGATTCTGCCTGCATTTCCCCGAGAGAGAGGGACAAATCAGAGTTTCCTTCAAAGCCTGTGAAAAAGTTGTAAATTCTTGTCTTCTAACCCATATACCTCATCAGCTTGCATTCTGCTTCGCTGGGGAAAGCGAAACTTTAGGTGAATTCACCAACTCACAGTCAAGAATTATTGGACTTTTATATAGTTTTCGAGTAGATATATTGTTTTTACTTATTGCATTATTAGAGTTATAGTAGGTATATATTGATTGTATTATGTTTGTTTAGTTAAAGTGTGATTTAGATACGGAATGGGATGTGTTTTAGTCCTGTATTTGGTTCTGGGAAGTCCAGGGGGGGGGAGGGGATTAGGGGAATTATAAAAATTGATGTATTTACATGTTATAGGTAAACAATAATTGTATTGATAAGAGGAGATGCTCGGCTGGTATCCCAAATTGCACTCGAAGAGGTGGTTAGAAAGGTGATGGGATGTAGGTAGGTGGAAAGGAGGAAGGAGAAGATTTAGAAGGAGGAAGGATAGGAAAGTGAATGAGGGTGGAGGCAAGGCGGGGATTGCGGAGCGTTTCCGAAAATGTATTGATTTGGATTATTTTTTTTTTCTGCTTGTGTATGTAAATGCATCATATTGGTATTTGTTGTTTAATTATAAAAATCAATAAAAAATTTATTAAAAAAAAAAAAGAATTATTGGACTTTTTTCTGACTCAAATAATCTGTCAAATGTAAAAATGGTACAGTTATATCTTCAGGGGCTTTCTGCAGGCCAGCAAAGTGGAGGCCAATTTAACCTCTACCCAATTTTGCCCTGCTCATGCTAATTCTCAAGGCATCTGTCAATGCAAGGAAAGGGAACCTATTTCTGAAACATCCCCAGCCAAGTTGAAAACAAAACTGGTGGTTCAAAATAAAATGTGGGATTGGCTACGAACTTCCCCCAAATTGTTTCAGTTTTTCAAGAGCCAATAAGTTCTTTTACAGTTATACAGGATCAAAGAGCAGCAGCCAAAAAGAGATTTTCCCTAAATATTTTTTGTCCTATTGCAAAGGATACTGCCACACATATTTCTGACGTGCTTTGAGATTGGCCCCACATCCCATCAAAACAAGAAAGGAAGAAAACGAATTGTAGCAGAACCAGATCCACTTTGGCGAATCATCTTAACTAAGTATTATTGTCAACATCTGAGAAAAATGAAGAGAATGCACCAAAGTTTAAATTTAACCTCAGCAGAAGTTTTCATAAGGAAAAAGAATGCTACCATTACATTTTCCCTATTTAGCTGGCTGCATTTTATTGCTTGATAAATTGGGCAATAACAGCCTTTTTTAAAAAAAGCCTTCCATCGTGACAACTTTAAAAAAAAA